TTCCTTCCTTCCTCCCTCCTCCTTCCCTCCCTCCCTCCCTCCCTTCTCCCTCCTCTTCTCTGTGCCTCTCCCTGCCTCACCCCAGGGCCTCCAAGCCTCTCCATGGAGACACCATTATTTTGAGCCCCTGGAACCCTGTTTCCTCCGCCTTCTTTCTGTTCTTTATTCTCTACTTCCTGTCTGTTCATCCTCTGGGCTGTCCCTGTGCGGGGCTCTCCTCTCGCTCCTGCTCCCATCACCACGGCCTTCATCTGCAGGATTCTGTCCTCTGGCCTCAGCCTGGAGCCGGAAGCCCATGGGGGTGCCCTGGACTGTCCCCTCCAGCGAGGCAGGGAGACCCTGGTTGTCCTACCTCCTCCCTCCTACCCTGACCCATACACAGATGCTTAAAGTAGACCGTTGGTGGTGGTTCTGAATAAGAGTTGAGGGGGCGCTCTATTTGGGGGACACAGAAAACAGGGGGAACTTCAGCTTAACCAGCTTAACCCCGAGCCAGCTGTCGGTCATCCTCTTGGCTGCAGATTCTTTATCTTTCGGTTTGGGGGCCCCACCAGCTGTGCTCGGGACTCACTCCTGGTTGGTTCCGGGAGCCACACGTGGTGCTGAGGATTGAATGGTGGTCTCTGGGGCTGGAGCGATAGCACAGCGGGGAGGGTGTTTGCCTTGCACGTGGCCGACCCGGGTTTGATTCCCAGCATCCCATGTGGTCCCCCAAGCACTGCCAGGAGTGATTCCTGAGTGCATGAACCAGGAGTAACCCCTGTGCATCGCTGGGTATGACACAAAAAGCAAAATAATAATAATAATAATAATAAAAGAAAAGAAAAGAAAAAGAACCGTGGTCTGCCCCATACAAGGCAAAAAGAGGCAAACACCTGATTCCCTGTGCCATCTCCCGGGCCCCTGGATACTCATATCTGAAAAACCCTTGCAGAGTTTTCCATAACAAAAGGCCAGAAGTGTCCTGTAGCCACCCAGGGTGCCAGCCTCGCCTCTCTGACCCATGTGGGTCCAAAGCCCACGGAAATGGCAGCACCTTGAGCTCCAAACGTGGTGAACTGAATCCAAAACGGGGTGGCTGGAGAGATAGCCCAGCGGGGAAGGCATTTGCCTTGCACTCTGTCAACCCGGGTTCGATCCGGGCTCAATTCCCAGCATCCCATATGGTCCCCCGAGCAACGCCAGGAGTAATTTCTGAGTGCAGAGTCAGGCGTAACCTCTGTGTATTGCTGGGTGTGACCCAAAATGCAATAAATAAGTAAATAAATAAAATTAAAAAACGGGGTGGTTGTAGCGATAGCATCGTGGGGAGGGCATTTGCCTTGCATGCTGCCAACCCGGGTTCGATTCCCAGCATCCCATATGGTCCCCCGAGCACCACCAGGAGTAATTCCTGAGTGCATGAACCAGGAGTAACCCCTGTGCATTGCTGGGTGTGACCCAAAAGGCAATAAATAAATGAATAAAATTAAAAAACGGGGTGGCCGTAACGATAGCATAGTGCAAGGCGTTTGCCTTGAACCCAGGTGACCCAGGTTCAATCCCCAGCATCACCCATGGTCCCCCGAGCACCGTCAGGAGTAATTCCTGAGTGCAGAGCCAGGAGTAAACCCTTGCACATCGCCACATATAACCCAAAACCAACCAACCAAACAAAAAAATCCCCTCAAAAATCGGGGTGAGGGGGTTGGAGCGATAGCACAGCGGGGAGGGCGTTTGCCTTGCACGCGGCCAACCAGGGTTCGATTCCCAGCATCCCATAGGGTCCCCTGAGCACCGCCAGGGGTGATTCCTGAGTGCAGAACCAGGAGTAACCCCTGTGCATCGCCGGGTGTGACCCAAAAAGCAAAAAAAAAAAAAATCGGGGTGCCCCTTTCGTCCCTCAGCTGTTCCATGCACGCTGATAAGACCACAGCACTCTGGCTGCAAAAGTTGGGTGCCACGTTAGGGGCAGGGGGTGGGGACGGTGATACAAGGCCACGGAAGAAAGCCAGGCCGAGAGCTCTCAGGGCGGTGACGGGCGCAAGTGTGGACACAGCAGCCAGAGCCCTGCCACACCCCGACCCCCAGAGAGCAGCACCCCTGAACCTGAGCGGACAGTCCAACCGCCTTGGGGCTCAGCGCGTGCGGGAGCCGCCGGCCGCCACCAGGGGGCGCGCCCGCCTCGCCCATGCGGCCGCGCTGGGCAGCCGCGTCCCTGTCTTTGAGGTCCTGTCATTCTCTGTATAAACAAGTTACGTCCAAGTGTTTAGGATATAAATTACGACCATGCCGGCTGCCTCGGAAGGAATGTAAACACAGCACTGTGGTCGGAGCAAACTCTGAAACTGACTTCATAATTTATAGCAGGCCCCTGGGTAGCAGCTCGGTATAAAAGAAGACCCAGAAGGGGGTGTGTGTGTGTTGGGGTGTGTGTGTGGGGGGTGGGGGAAGGTCCCATTTAACTGCAACTATGATAATGGAGATAGGAAAAAAAATAGTTTAAAAACTCCACTCGATGTCGGGAAACAGGGAACGGAAAGCTAACGTGGAGGGTGCCGGGGAAGGCTATGTAAAAAACAGGATGTTTTATGATTAAGGAGAAGATCCTTGGAGGGACACTGTTCCCCTCACCCGGGGTGGATTGGGGGTACCCAGGATTGGCGACCCTGGGGTAGGAGCGCTAGGGGACAAGAAACCAGAGGGAGGTTCAGAACGCAAAACACAGGGCCGGCAGGCACCTCGTGGGAGGAGGAAGCCCAAGGCTTGGTCCTGGGACCACAGATGCTCATGCATCTGTGCCGGAGGGGGTTGGGGTGCCCAGCGGGGAGAGATCCCCTTCCTCTCCTCCCTGGTCTTTCAAGCCGCCCTCTCAGCATGGGGGCTAGCGGGCAAGGAAGGAAACTGGACAGTCTTTTCCCAAAGGGACAGCAAGCTCCCGGCTAGCCTATGGCAGGTTACAGACAGCTGTGGAGAGAGCACAGGGCTTAAGGCCTTCGCCGGCTTTACCTGGGGAGACCCTGACCCTGACCCAGGCTCATCCCTTCCCCTGACATCATGTCAGGTCCGGGGATGAATGCCTGAGCTCAGCACCACTGGGTGTGACAAAATAATTGCAAATAAAACATCATCATAATAATAGTAAATAAAACCAAAGGCCGGTCAGCTAGTCAGCAGTCAGCATAGGGGACACAGTGCAGGCGAGAAGGTGGGAGGGCTCAGTGCTAGGGTGGGACTCTGGCAGAGGGTGGTCTCTGATGTGGCCTGTCTGCTGTCACCTGAGTCAGACCACCCAGGGCCCTCTCTCTCACAGGCCCTAAGGATCTCTCTGGAGGATCTGCCCCACCCTGCACTACACAGACCACATTACACTGCATTATACGGACCACATTACACCGCATTACAGGGACCACATTACACTGCATTACAGGAACCACATTACACTGCATTACAGGGACCACATTACACTGCATTACAGGGACCACATTACACTGCATTACAGGGACCACATTACACTGCATTACAGGGACCACATCACACTGCATTACACGGGCCACCTTACACTACATTACACTGACCACATTGCACTGCATTACACTGACCTCGCCTATGGCCACAGTAACCCCCCACTACATTACACTGACCACATTACACTGCATTACACTGACCCCCACCCCGCCCAACATCCTGCCCAGCACCCTGGCAACCAGGGCAGAATTTGGTTGGTCTCTTCTTGGGGGTAACTCGCCCCTCTGTCACCCCACCCCAGGGCAGCATCTCCCTGCATCTCCACCCCCACCTCCCAGGAGGTAACTTGGTTTTGCAAAAAAGTAAATAAATAAAATAAAATAAAACCGCTACACTTCCCACGACCCAGGAGAGAGATGTAAGAGGGCCTCCTTGCGCGCAGCCCGCACCTTACATGATCTTGCCTGGTTTTTCTTTAAGTTCCTTTTACCTTCTGGTTTTTGTTTAGTCAGAAAAGCCGGGTGAGGGTGAAAGAAAGAACAGAGAAAAAAAAAACGGTTCCTCTTCTCCTTGTCTCCTGAGAAGGCACGATCAGAACCTGGCCTGTGTTACGCCAGGCCCGGACCCCACACCACGTCAATTAGACAACTTAGAGAGAGAAAGAGAGAGAGAGAAACAACGACCGAAAACCACCCAGTGAGGAATTGCATTCTGGGCCTTTAGGAGAAGAGATAGCCCGGCAGGCACGGAGTGCCCACAGCGGCAGAAATCGAGCCCCCGGAAACCTCTATTTTGTTATATACAATTTTATTGAAAAAAAAATTTTACATCAAAATAGTTTGGCAAACTGTAAAAGTATACATAAGTGCAAATATATCCTCCTTTGAAAATACAAGCAAAGTGTGAGTATACACGAAGATCATAAAAATATCTTTAGAATATGGTGGTAGAAAGAACAACTTTGTAAAAAAAAAAAAAACACGAAAAAAACCAAAATGCTTGTCTGGTCGCAATACTGAAAAAAAAAAAACACTTTCTTAAAACTAGACACATGGCTTCTAAATACTTTCTTAATAATGTTCTTTGGCACCTGTATCCAAAAAACGGATTTGGTGAAATAGAACCCTCTTCTTCTTCTTCTTCCTCCTCCTCCTCCTCTTTCTCCTCCGCCACCACCATCTCCTCCTCCTCCTCCTCCTCTTCCTCCTCTATCTAGGCCACTTGTGAGGCGCTCCCAAAGCTTGTGTTAACCTTTTGGGGGAAAAGCACGCACGGTCCCGACACGCACGCACGCACGCACGCACGCACTAGCACACACGCACACGCCTTCGTTTTTTGTTTTGTATTTTGTATTTGTTTCTCAGATCCTGATGAAGGCAGGCAACGGAAGATTCCCCGAGCTTTAAGTCGCGGCGACTCGTCCTCCGGGGTCTCGGCTAAGGCTCTGGCTCCGGAGGGCGCTCGCGGCGTTACCTCGCCCAAGGCCGGCGCGCTGGGCCGCCGCGCGCGCGGCCTCCGCGGCGCTCCTGCTTCCTCCCGGCGCTGCCCCCCGGGTTCACATCACGCAGGGCTTCACGTCCTGGCAGGCGCTCTGGTGGTGGTGGTGGTAGTAGGGCCCGCCGGCCGAGGGGTGGAAGGACGAAATGCCGTTGAAGTTGAGGACGAAGTCTTTCCTGTCGCACACGGGGCCGGAGTGATGCTGGTAGCGGGGCAGCCCCACTGCGGGAAGGAAGCGGAGGAGGGGAGTTGGGACCAGCCCTTGGCGCGGCCGGCGAGGAAGGGGCAGAAAATTGCTACTAAAAAAAAAAATTCCGCCCTGTCCCGGCCTCCTCGCCCTGCCTCTTTTTTTCTCTTCTTTTTTGCCACAGAAGGACCCTAGAAGAGTTTCTTTTGGCGAACTGCGGTTCCCTCTAAAAGATTTTGCTCCGAGGCGCGCGCTCTCCCCGGGCCTCTGAACCCCCCAGGACTCCCGACCCGCCGGCTGTGGGAGCCGTTGCCCGCCCCCGCCCACCCCCCCCCCAACCTGACTCGGGGGTCCCGCGGCCGCAGCCCCGTCCCCCTGCCCCAGGAGCCGCGCTGTCATCTCTCCAATTGTCCACGGTCCCTGCTCCGAGTCTCAGCAAAGGCCCCGCTTGCGGGCGCCCCGCTCCGAAGCGCGCTCGGAGGGGCCCAACGGCGGGAATCTTTGGCACCAAGGGGGTGTCAGGCCGCGCGGGGGTCCCCGAGAATCTGGGGACTCGGGGTGGGGGTGGTGGGTCGAGCACGCACGAGGCGCCGCCGCTGGACGCCGACCCTGGACCCCGCCGCCTTCTTTTGCTTTTGCTTTCTCAGAGCCTCGGTTGTGCAGGACGCGGCCGCTGTCCCCGCCGGCGCCCCGGGCCTGTTCTAGCCTGACCCCCGCTTCGGTGAGGGCTGGATTCGGGTTGTCCCCCCGCCCCGTGAATTGCCCACCCACAGGACTGTCCCTGTCCCCCCCCACAAAATGACCCAGCTGCGGACCCCGACCTGCGCGCACCCCTCCCGGGGCTTGGGCTTCAGCGCACACGCGCGACCCTCTGGAGATGCAATTTCGCGGGAGTCAGCTCCAAGACACCCCTCAATCCGCAGGGGGAGGGAGGGAGGGCCCCCATCCCTCCGAGCACCCCCTGGAAACTGCTGGCGTGATGGTGGGGAGGAGGTCGAGACTGAGGGTAGCATAAAGCCCCCGGATCCTGCGACTTCGGCACAGGCGCGGCCTCCCCAGCGCCTGGCCCAGGGTGCCTCAGCTAGGGTGGGAGGCGAATGGACCCTTGGGATGCGCTGAGGGTGGGGGGCACAGACTCGGCTCTGCAGGGTCTCCCGGTTCCAGGCCGCCCAAGGATTCTTCTCCCTCTTCCCGACCTGATCTATATATATCTCCAGCACAGCTGGGCGATGCCCGGCTAGGCAGGGCAAGAATACTCGGAAGAGTTGGGGTCCCCTGGGGTAGAACGCTGAGATGGGGCTCGGATCCGACCGCCTTTGGGGTCCCCCCCAGGCCCCTTGGAGTGGAGGCTGGCTTCAGGCCTGGATTCTCGCGTCTCCCCATGCCTCAAGGCGTGTTGTGGGACACTGACATTGTCACCGTGTCCATGCCCGAAGGACACTCAGTTCAGAAGGATTTCTTCTGGGACAGGGTGGCCTTTTGTTTTAAATTTTGGGGTGCTGGTACTTTATTTTTATTTCAAATTAGGGTTCAAGTTGGGCCTGCAACAGAGGGGGCCTCTGGGATGGAGAGAGAGAGAGAGAGAGAGAGAGAGAGAGAGAGAGACGAGAGAGAGAGAACTATGATTGACAGCCGGTCCGAGGGGGCTTAGGGGGGAGAATCTCTACCAGGGGAGGGTGGTTCCGTATTGGTTACTTGTTGAAATTCCCATAAAATTGAACAAGACTCCGCTCCCAGCGGGTTAAGTCAGGCTAAACCCTCGCCGGTGTGGTCCTGCGGAGACCGTCTTTGTTTAGTTAACCCTGGAGACCCGCATTTAAAAGGCCTATTTGGCCTATTTCACCCGCCCGGGAGGCGGCGGCTTCTGGCCTTCCCTTCCTCCCTGCCTCCCTGCCCCGCTGAGTGACCCCCGAGGTGGGCACCCTCCTGCCCACCTCACCCCCGCGGGACAGGGAAGGGGGGTGAGCCAAGCACCGCGGGAGGACATCTGTGGGCCGAAGCCTCTGGGAGCCCCCTGGTCTGAGCCTACGGATTATCTCCCCTGCACCCCCCCACGCCCAGCCTGGATAAATATTTAAATTCCTTCCTCTGCCCCCGACACCGCCTCCCACCTTTCAGCGCCTCTGGGCCTATCAATAAATTTTCATAATCTTCCACCAACACCACAGGGCAATGGCCTTAGTGGGCCGCTGGCCTGGGAGGCCTCAAGCATCCACGGGGTCCGCTGGACCCGCCGGACCCAAGTGTCACAAACGTGTGTGAGTGGCGGCTGGGTGGGGAGGGGGGGGATCTTCATCCCCGTGCCCCCACTCCTGGCCAGGTAGCCCTGGGAAGGAGCCCGGACACTCCCCTTTCCTCAGTGCTCCTCTGGGCACTACGCGAACCTCAGGACCCCCTTACCAGACCCGCACCCCAGAATCCAGCCCCATCGCCAACCTCCCTGACATTCACTCTGGGAAGGAATGAACCGCAGGCACGACTTGAAAGCAGCCAGACCCCGCCGAGAGCGGGGCGAGACCCCCGCTTAGCGTTCCCGTCAGGAGCGAACCCTGAATGCAGAGCACGGCCGGGTATGCCCCCCCCCATCCTCTAAATGTCATAAAAATCAGATAAAAAGAGACGCAGATGGTCCCCGCTCTTCTCTCTCCGCGACATCAGGCCCGAGAGCTGCGCGTCCGAGGGGACCCCGAGAGAGGCCAGGCGCGGCCGGCCGGACACTCGGCGCGCTCCCCGCTAGCAGGGCAGTTCCTGGGGTCCCCGTTGGGGTGCTCGGGCCCCGCGCGCCGCGCCCGTCCGTCCGTCCGTCCGTGAGTGGTCTGGGCGCCCCGTCCTGGCACCCACCGCCCCACTGCCGTCCCCCGGGGCTGGCACCCCGAGCCCCCGCCGCCCCCAAGCCCGCGCGCGCGTTACCTGAGAGGTCCTCGCGGGCGTTCTGGTGCAGGTAGGTCTGCTCCAGCGAGTAGGCGGGGAGGCTGGCGTGCAGGCTGCCCGGGGCCCCCGGGGTGCTGCCCGGCGTGAGCGCGGACGGCTGCTTGAGGTAAGGCGAGGCGCCGGGCGAGCTCCAGTGCGCCGCGGGGCTGGTGTAGGGCGAGTGGCACTCGAGCGCGCTCGCCACGGCCGGGGACGAGGGCACCGGGCTGCTGCTGCTGTCGGGGCCGAAGTCCCCCGCGCCGCCGCCGCCGCCGCCGCCGCCCTGCGCGCCCCCCGCGCCCCCGGCGGCCGCGCCCACGGCCCCCGGCCCCGCGGGCACGGGGCAGCTGGCCATGTAGGTGGAGCCGGGGTTGGGCGACATGTGCGGGACGTGGTGGTGGTGGTGCGGGTGCGCGTGGGCCGGCGTGCCCGCGCCCGCGTCGTAGGCGGCCGGCAGCATGTCGAGGCCGCCGTAGCCCGCCTGGCCGTGGCAGGCCAGCGGCGCGGACGGCGGCGCCTGGAACTCGAAGGCCTGCGGGGGCAGCAGCGACGCGCCGAAGCCCAGGCCGCCCACCACGCGGTGGTACATGGGCTTGAGCGCCTGGCACTTCCGTCGGAAGCCGCGCGGCCGGCGGCGGAACGAGCCCTCCTCGAACATGAACTCGCTGGCCGGGTCGATGGTCCAGTAGTGGCCCTTGCCGGGCCGGCCCAGCCCCTTGGGCAGCTTGATGAAGCACTCGTTGAGCGACAGGTTGTGGCGCACCGAGTTCTTCCAGCCCTGGTAGGCGCCGCGGAAGAAGGGGAAGCGCGCCTGCAGGAACTGGTAGATCTCGCTGAGGGTCAGGCGCTTGCTGGGCGAGCTCTGGATGGCCATCACGATCAGCGCGATGTACGAGTAGGGGGGCTTCTCGGGCCGCCGCAGCCCCGAGCTCGCCTTCTTGGCGCCCGCGCCCTTGGCGCCGGCCGACGGCGCGCCCGGCGCGGACGGGGCGGACGCGGCGCTCGACGCGGGGTCCAGCGCGGCGCCCGGCGGCGGCGGCGGCGGGGGCGGCGGGCTCATGAGCGCGGCCTGCAGCGCGCCGGGGGCCGGCGGGGCCGGCGGGGCCGGCGGGGGGCGCGGCGGCGGCGGCGGCGGCGGGGGGCCGGCCTCGCTGCTCATCGGGGAGCGGCGCGCGGGGCCGGCGGCGGCCGGGGGCGCGGCGGGGTCGGCCCAGAAGCCCGGGGAGCGCCCAAGCCCGCCGGCCGCGCCGCTGCAGCCGGGCCCGCTCCGAGCCAGCGCGGCCGATGCTCAGCTCCGCGCCCGGGCCGGCTGCAGCGCGCGGCGGCGGCGGCGGCGGCCCGCGGGCACCGCCCGGCGCATCCCTCCCCGGCCCCGGCCCGGCCCGGCCCTCGCCGCCCGCCCGCGCCTTGCGCAACCGCCGCCCGGCCCGCCCCGGGACCCCGGCGAGCAGCCCGACGTCTCCCCGCCGCGCGCCGCGCGCTCTGTCTCTCCCACTTCCTCCCGCCCGCGCCCCGGCCCGCCGCCCCCCGCGCCCCCCGCCCCCCGCGCGCCCCGGCCCTGCCCGCGCCCGCCCCGCCCCGCCCCTCCCGGCCCGGCCCGGCCCGGCCCGGCCCGGCCCGGCCGCCCGCCGCTCCCTGCGCGCGCCCTCCGGACGCCTCCTCGGGGCCTGGCCCCGGACGCGCTCACCGCGGCGGGCGCGGGCCCCCCTCCCGCCGCCGGCCCCTCGCTCCCGTCCCGCGCGGCCCGGACCTCGGGGAACCCGCTCTCTCTGCGCGCCCCCGCCGCTCCCCGGCCTTCCATTCCGGAGACAACACCCCCCGCCCCCCGCGGCGTGGACCGGCCCTTCTCCGCCTCCTCCTCCTCCTCCTCCTCCTGCTCCTCCGCCCCTTTCCCCCTCCTCCCTCCCCTCCTCCTCCCCCCCTTCCCGGGCCCATCCCGGCCGGAGCGATGCCGCCGCCGCCGCCGCTGCCCGGAGCCGCTCGGTCCACTCCCCCCACCCCCCAGGCCGCACTGACACCATCTGTCAGCTTCGTTTAGACGTTTGCAGCCACACGCCAGGGTGCCAGACGCCCCAAGGTAACGTGCCGGGCCTCTCCCTTCGGGACGGGCCTCCCCAGCCCGCGTCGCGGCCCTCAGCTCAGCCACCCCCCGTGCGCGCAGCTCCGCGGGGAGAGAGTTCTGGAGACCCTGGCAAGCTGGTCGGACTCGTGTCCGCGTCTATTTCCACGCGGAGACGTGGGCAGTTTTGTTTCCCAACAGGCCAAAAAGGCCGGCTTGAGGGGTTGTGTGTGTGTGTGTGTGTGTGTGTTGGGGGCGCGGGCGGGGTCCCCCTTCTGCCTTCAGCCCCGCAGGGCCTGGGCTTGGGCCTGACACCCACGTCCTCGGCTCCCGCGGGGCCCACCCAGCTCCTGGGAGAAGCCCCCGCGGCGGCCGTTGCTGCCGCTGCTAATTCCGCCCCGACCCGAGCGAGGCTGGCGGCGGGCGGGAGGGGGAGGATGTGCAGGGAGGAATCACTTCCAATGAGAGGCGACAGTTAGTTATTGGATTACACGTGCAAGGAAATGTAGTCTGAGCGGGGGACAGGCCGGGGAGGAGGGCGGCGGCAGGAGGCCTGGGAACCCGGGCCACACAGGGCTGATGGGGGTGGGGGGCGCAGAGGGGTGGCGCCCACGGACCGGGACCGAGGGTGCGTCCCTGTGCGCCCGCGGGGTGTAAGCGTCGCCTCCGGGAAAGGATGAGAGGCCTCTGCAAGGCTGGGGGTGGGGGGTAGGGGGCACAGAGGTGAGGTGGAGCCGGGAGCCCCCAAAGGGCAGCCCCCAAAGGCCCCGCGGGAGGGGACGCGGCCTGGGGGCAGGCTCCCCGGGCGCTGCAGGGGAGGGGGCGGGCTGGCCCCAGACAGTGACCTGCCGCTGAGTGCATGCAGGCTTTTTCCATCAGACCCGGCTCGATACCACACACGGAGACCCGTGTCAGCTTACTGCCCCGCGCCGGCTCCTTTTCCCTGAGCTCTCCAGTAATTAGACAAAGAAAACCCAAATTAGCTGAACAGGCGTCGACAGCTTCCTCCAGAGCACCCCTGGTACCTACACGGGAATGCGTCCCAAAATGGCTCGATTGTAGCTTCTAGTCAGCTAAGAAAACACGGCGGCCCCCGAGCGAGTCAGCAGTGACCGAGCCTGGCTCACTGTGTTCCCCTCCAGGAGGAAAAGGGAGCGTGCCCCGCCGACGGCCACCCGCCTGCCCGCCCGTCCTTGGGTGCTTGCGGGTGCTTCCAGGGCTTCGGGCAGGGCCCGGCAGCCCCTCTCCATCCCGGGAGAAGGGTCTTCCTGGAGATGCGCCCCCCCCCCCACTTTTATGTCACAGCACAGCCTCTCTGGTCTCTGGGGTAATTTAAAATAAAAATGACAGCAAATCCGTCAAGACAGCAAATTGCTCAATCCACGATGGCGGCTGATAGAATAGGATGGAGCCGGGGAGAAGATGGATAAGGTGCCCTGTTGGCAAGGCCCTGAGAATGTGTGTGTGTGTGTGTGTGTGTGTGTCTGTGTGTGTGTGTTTCTGCCTATACACACACATGCCGTGGAGTGGCCTGGCCTGGTTGAGCAGGAGGATCCACCTCAGTGGTGGGGGGTGGGTGGATGGTGGGATCTGGGGGGACCGACTGGGCCCTTCAGGATCTTCGTTGCTTTAGGCCCAGACGGGGGCCTCTGGGGGGCAGGCACAGGCCCTCACAGGTTTCAGGAGCAGAGACTGGCACGTAGATGGGCACTCAATCCTAAACGCAGGCAGGGCTCCGGGCCTTAGACCATGGGGTCACGTCTTGGGGTCCCGGGGTCTTTCTGAGGATATAAAGAGTACCAGGGATGGTGGACGCCGTGGGCTCTAGTTGCAGGGAGACTGAGAAAAAGAAGCCCTTTTTGGGGGACTTCAGGGGGTCCACAGATGCCTGTTCTTCTCGAATCCTACCCGTGTTGGGTCTCTCCTGTTGATTCTTACCAGAAATGTTTAGATGCCCCCTCACACTCAAGGGAAAATGGGAGAGGAGAGAAATCAGGAGAGGCGAGTCTCAACTCCTGAAACTTGCAGGAAATGCCACTTGGGATTTTAGTGACTGTCGCCCAGAACGCGGAGGGTCCTGAAAGGAGAAGGGAGGGAGGCCGGGCCGCTGCCAGGACTAGGGGTGCCTTAGGGGTCCTTTCTCCCTCCAAGTCTTAATCCGGCCGTGTCCCCCAGAAAGACACGAGGTTGGTGCCTTCTGAGCTAGCGGGGTTAGGCAGGGGGTCACAGAACCCTTTCTGGGACACCTCGCTTCTACCTATGGGACCCCTCTGGGGTGGACCCCCCACCACAAGTCTGGAAACTGCCTTCCTGCTTTTGTTCATCCTGAGCTTGTCCACTCACAGCTGGCCCCAGGTGGCCTCTGTTTGTCCCCTGCCGAGGTAAAGGACGGTTGCACTGGAGGAAGTCACACCTCTAGTTCGGGGTGGGCTGTGGCTGCCACACCTCCCTGAATATTGATTTAATACAGAGTTCCAGAAACCTCCTGGGTCGGGAGAACCAGTCCTGTCCATTTGTTCCTTCTCTGTGCCAAGAATGTGTCCTCAGAATTGCACCCTGAGCATCAGGTTTGCAGAGGGAAAGCTGTGTGAGTTCCATGGAGCCTGGGTGAGGGGGAGTGTCTCTGCCTTAGAAGTTTGTCCTTCCTTCCTTCCTTCCTTCCTTCCTTCCTTCCTTCCTTCCTCTTTCTTTTCCTTCCTTCCTTCCTTCCTTTTTCTTTTCCTTCCTTCCTTCCTTCCTTCCTTCCTTCCTTCCTTCCTTTTTCTTTCTCTTCCTTCCTTCCTTCCTTCCTTCCTTCCTTCCTTCCTTTTTCTTTCCCTTCCTTCCTTCCTTCCTTCCTTCCTTCCTTCCTTCCTTCCTTCCTTCCGTCCTTCCTTCCCTTTCTCTCTTTCTTTCTTTCTTTCTTTCTTTCTTTCTTTCTCTTTCTGTCTGCCTTTCCTCTCTCTCTCTCTCTCACTCGCTTTCTCTCTCTCCCCCCCCCCCCCCCACACACACCTGGTGGTGCTCAGGGCTTACTCCTAGCTCTCTGCCCACAGATAACTCCTACCAGAGCTTGGGGGACCTATCTGGGGTGCCAAGCACGCATCCTATCTCCTGTACTATCGCTCTGGTCTCAGGATTTTGCTTTTCTCACGGTCAGGAGCCGTGTGTTCGGGAAAGGGAGAACATGTCAACCCAGGCTCCCCCATTAACCAAAAGGGCAACCGCTGGAGTGCTCCCAGCCCCGTCGCAGGGGGGCTCCCTCCTCTCCTCCTTGGCCGCTGTCTGTCTGGGCTGCGGGTGGCTTTCCGGCTCCAAACCCCAGACTCCCCCCACCATGCCCTCCCCCCTTCCCCCAGCAGGCGAATGTAAACTTCGGCAAGCTTCAGTTTCTCTGAGATTTTGTTCCGTAATCGGCGTTTTATTCTAGGAAATCTCTTCATTATTGCGGTTTAAAATTTGATGTTCGCAGCAGGCTTCCTCTGCCCGGTGGGTTTTCCATGAACAAGCTTAGACTAAACCAGTCACCCGCGGGGAAGAGCCGGCTGCACCCCACTGTGCTTGGGGCGCTGGGTCCCCCCTTCCTGTCGCCAGGAAGGTCCAGAGCTGGGGGTCAGGGTTAAAGCAGGCAACGGCGACCCCAGCTCCCAACAAGCTGTCTACTTAGGGACGATCAGAGCTGAGTGCTGAGGTCTGGGGCAGGGAGAGTGTCTTGTGTATTTGGTGGGTGCTCTGGGGGCCCCCCAAGACTGCACACTGCAGAAGCCCCTGGATGTCAGTGCATGGACGTGCAGTGCAGATGAGGCTAGAAGGCCAGGCGGTGTGGTGTGTTGGGGTGGGGCAGCCCGCAGGAGAGGGTGCCCCGGGGCGTCCCAGACCTCCGGGTTTGAACACCAGCCACCTCCTCCCAGTGTTTATTTGGAGAGATCCATCCGCTCTCCAAATGCCGGCTGGCTGCGCTGGCCAGGACCCTTCAGAGCCGCCTTCCGCTGCTGGACCCCAGAGGTCCTGGGTCTGGGCGGCCCCCGGGACCTAATCACTCCCTTGGCCAGATCTGACATGGGGTCGGGGGTGGGGGGTGGGGAGTGGGTGGGCGGAGAGGGAGCAAAGGTTAAACAGACCTGAGCGGATGCCTCTTTTGGATAGGGGTGTTCTGGGTCACACCCGGTTGTGCTCAGGGCTTACTCCCAACTCTGCGCTCAGGAATCACTCCTGGCAGGGCTGGGGGACCAAATGGGGGTGCTTAGGGGTCCAACCAGGGTCTGCCTCATGCAAGACAAATGCCCTAACCCCCCTGTCTTCTGTCTCAAACCTCTTTATCTGCTCTTCCCGGATCTCGCATCAGTGGGAAGCACATCCTGGTCAGTGGTGGGGCATCAGTGGTGTGCATTTGGGGCGTCTTCCTGGCTGCCCACCATGGTGGGGTGCTGGCAGACAGGTCTCAGGCACTGCCCACAGTCAGCTGCACTTGTGGGTGCAGAGAGAGGCCGCTGGCCGCCCTCTAAGTA